AAAAAGCAAATTTAAATATATTAACCAGATTAAAGCATGCAAAAGATCCAATGATAAACACATTAAATAACAATATGCTAATGGTATCTAATTTACCCACTTCATATTCCATCACAAGAGTAAATATCAATTTGAAATTTGGTGAATGGACTTGATTCCTGATTTATATATAAGATATGATATACCCTTTGCATGTATATGGTTAATTTTACTGGTGGTGTTACAGTACACTTAGAGCAAGTTTGGCATTAGCATACATTTACTACCCACATAGTGCAGTAAAAAAATGGTTAGAAATGCATTCTCCTAATATGCTGTGAATTTAGAAAGCACTAATGAATTAACAACATGGGTCACTGAGGGACCAAAATTTCTTACTATTCACATTAACTTTTCCCATAAAAAGCTTCAAATATAACTCTAATAAAAAAATAGAGTTTTCAAGGCAAACTTCTCAGCATAATGTACAGAAGCAGATTTAAATAGGAGACTCAATAACTAAGCTAATATTTAAAAAATACAATTAACTAGGAATATTCTTCCTTTTCTACCTTGCTGTTAAAATATAGCGACCTTACCAAGAGGCCAAAATGCCATTAGGAGTCCCACAAGCACAAGAGACAACCCAGATAGAAGAGATGGAAAATGTTTCTTTACATATTCTCACATATTTCAAATGTTCAGATTTAAAAGAGAGATTCATGTTAATGTTTTTTTTTTCTATCTGCCATTATAAATCTGAGTAGTTAAGACCTACTCCAGAGATTTCAGAAAGTAATTCTGGAGAGCTAGTGTGCTCATTCCCAGGATGGTCACACTGAATTTTAGAAAAGGAGTTGAAATGGCTCCCACAAAGTACTACTGCCACTTTAGCAAGTAGATGAGTCCATTGTGGAGAGAGTCAAGATGCTCCTGTCGTTGGTATAGAAAGGATCCGATGCACTCCATGATCTGCTGACATGGGTGGGACTACATCTTCCTATTACTCGTTCCAGCATTCTTCCAACAGGTGCACACGCTGTTTCTCCTTCTGAGAAACAGCACATGGAGTCCAAGTACTTGATATGTGAATTTGTTTCAGGAAGCTGGGCCTTTTCAGTATTTGTAGGATGGAGCTGTCGGTCAAATACTTTCTTCACAATATCAAGCAATAGACATGTAAAAACCATGAGTATTATGGCAAACCAAGCAGAACCACTTGACAGGAGCTGAATAAATATAAAGTACATACTCTGGGAGCCCAAAAATGGCCAGAGAATCCCTCCATAAAACAAAGAAAATACAAAATAGAATATAATAGATCCCCAGGTAACAAGATGGTTAATCCAGGTCCAAAAACGAGTTTCCAAAGCCATCTTTACTGTGACTGTAATCACCATGACTGTGAAAACCAGGGTGCCAAATGTCCAGTTTCCAAACATCTGGCCATTTCCAAGCAGAGATGTATCTTTCCCTATTAGAAAATAGGATCCAAAAAAGAAAATAAAAGCATGACTGAAACCCAGGATAGTCCAATAAACAAATGTTTTAATGCTTAGCTGATGGTTTTTATTAATGTCTTGATAGAGGGTGGGCTTGTTCTGTAATACATGAGGGTCTATATGCTGTTCCAACAGACTGTATATCAGAATAGGTAGGGAAGTAAAACAAATATTGTATAAAGTCAGGTACACGCCATCATAGAGTGTTTGCTGAGAAAACAAACAGTAGAACTGATATAAAAATTGGGGTGTGATAAAGCACACATTCTTATAAAAAAATACTGTACAAGGGTAGCTATTCTAATATAATAAAAATGACCATGAACAAAAAGCAACTTGGAGAGGAATTTAAATCTAGCTATTGCATAGTCACTGTTTCTTGCAGCTTGTCTTCCTTCTTTACCCATGATTCCTGTGATAAAGGGGACAAAAAGTTCATTGATAAATGAGTGTAATTTTTTTTAGGTTACAATAATACTTCAGGTTTCAAGAGTTATTTATAAGTTTGTTGTCAATCTGGAGGTAGATTTGAGATATTATTTTTCAAAATTAAAAATTTTAATTTTTGTTATAGAAGGATCAAAATGTTTCAAATTGTACAGATAAAGATAATCACCTATATTCATAACACCTAGAGAAAACCATTATTTCTGGTCTATATCCTTTTAGAATATTTCCTTCTGTGTATTTTGCATATATGTGTATTTGATATATATAAAAACAAGTGTACAAAATGGGATTACTTGTCTTCTAATCTGCTTTTGTCACTTAATACATTATGGACACAGTTGATAATGTGTATCTTTGTCAGCATATTCATTTATTTTCTTAAAAAGAAATTAAGCATAATTGCTAAGTCAAAAACACACATTTAAAATTTTGTTATACATAATAACGCAGGGTGTACCAATTTACACTACCCACTAACATTATATAAGAGCATGTGTTGATTTCATACCTTTGCCAATTCCAGGTTTTATCAATCTTTGTAATTTTAGCCAGTCCGATAAGCAGTTTTAACTTGTAATTTTTAATGAAACTAAACACTTTCATGCACTTAGTATTCATTCTAGATTTCTCCTTTTGTGACAATTGATGGCTCATCTCCTTCCACATATTTCTACTATAGTGTTTTTATTATTCTCCTTAATTTGTTAAGACTTCCCATGTTAGAAATATTAAGACTTTGTCATCTATTTTGCAAACACTCTTTAATAGTTTATCTTTAAAATTTGTTTTAGGGGAGTACTTACTTCTGCCATACATATTGATCTTTTCCTTCATAATTTTTGCTTTGATTCTGTACTTAAAATATCCTTTCATACATCTAATTATGGGCCTATTCATCAAAGTTTTCTAGTACTTTTTACAGTCTTTAAACATTATTCAGATCCTTAATCCATCTGAAAGTTTTTTGTTTTTTTTTTTGCTGTAAGCAATGGAAAGGGCTCCAACTTCTTTTTTTTTNTCTGTACAGTGTGACACAGACTGACTGCTTTAAAGAAGAGATCGTGTTCTTTAATTAGTTCAGTTTCATTTTCAGGACTCGTTCTAAAAGAGGAACCGGGTGTAAGATGGGATAAGTTGTTAAGATGGTATAAACTATTAAGATAAGATAAGTTTCCTTCTGAAGAGTCTGGTGTTGGTCCTTCAGATACAAGTCTACCATTGATTTCTTGGTATTTTATGCCATTAATTGAACATTCCCAAAACTGCATCTCATTTTCTGTCAGTGTACCAGTTTTATCTGTAAACACATACTCCACCTGTCCAAGCTCTTCATTCAGATAAGAAGTATTAACTTGAGCTTTCTCATCTGACTCTTCATGATAGATATCAAGATCCCAGCCAATGAAAAATGATCCAAGAAACTTCTGCATTTCAACTGTCACATATAATGAAATTGGAATGATGAAACTGTAGAGTACCAAAAACGCAAGGAATCCTGAAATAAATGTCAGAATCTTACTACTATTTCTTTGATGTTCTGTTTTTTGGTTATACCAAGGTTCATCCCATTTTTCTTCAGCTTGCCATGTATATTTCAAGATAGTACTAATGATGGCTTCAGAAATAAGGATTATTAGATAAATTATCAAAAATGTATTCATTGATTTTTCTACTGCAGACCGTTTCTGGGACTTGCTCTTGTAATTTAATGCCATCTTAGTTTCCATTCCAGTGTATACAGCAACACCAAAAACTTCTTTTGTGTTTTTTAATCTGGCTGCACGCAGCAAGAGACTCTCTGGCCCCAAAGGTCTTACAATTTCTTCCATTTGTTGAGTTATTATCATTCATCCCATAAATCTGTACAAGTCTGCTTCTGGTTGCTGACATTCTATCTCAGCTATAAGAGTGTCCAAACTGGCAACTGTTTGTAATACTGCTATTTCTGGAACTGCCATGTGTGTCTTTAGGTTAGTTTCTCCATCCAAACTAGCAGTTGTAACATGACAAGAACCATCAAGTCGATCTGAGGACAGAAGCACCAAATCTGCAGGGAAAATTTCATCTTTGGCTATTCGAACAATATCACCAACCCGAATGTTTTTTGATCTAGTTTTTACAAGGCCACCACTTCGAACAACATAAACAGGAGCCCCATTTACTTCATTATCTGAGTTATGTCGTAACCAATCTTCATACCCCTGCTTTATGGCAGTTACTGTTATCACAAAGAATAATGGAAGTCCACTGGTAATTGGACTGGTAGGTGTATCAATCATAAGCTGAACCAAAAATATAATAAGAAAATAGAAGTTTGCCACTCTTCTGAATTGTTTGAATAAATTTTTTGGAACAAAATTCCACACAGTATACTTTGATGAAATTATCCGGTTATCTATAAATTTCTGAGGTGTGTAAAGGCCATTCTGAGGAAACCTGTTGGCTATATAAATAGTTCTTGTGTCACTTTGATGTGGTGGGTCAAAACCCTCCTGTTGCAGGTCAGTCTCTGGCTCTCTGCCTTCTTTGAGTTTTTTGAGGAACCTCCATACTGCTTTCCACAATGGTTGAACTAATTTACATTCCCACCAGCAGTGTAGGAGGGTTCCCCTTTCTCCACATCCTCGCCAACATTTGTTGTTGTACCTTTTTCATTCTTGATACTGATCATTTGTATTATACTTATGTTTTTCCTGATCTAAAGGGTCAGACATTTTCTTGATTTCATAAAATAAACTTTTGGTTTTATTGATTTTTTTCTATTGTTTTTCTGTTTTCTATTTCATTTATTTCCACTCTGATCTTTTTTGTTTAAATTATTGTGCTTACTTTAGGTTTTATTTACTCTTCCATTTCTATTTTCTTAAAGTAGAAACTGAGGTCATAAATTTGAGATATTTCTTATTTTCTAATAAAGGTGTTTTAGTGCTATAATTTTCTATGTACTGCTTTAGCTGCATCCCACAAATTTTGATAATTTCTCATTTTCATTCAGTTCAAAATACTTTCTAACTTTCCTTTTGATTTTTTTCACCCATGTGTTATTAAAAGTTGTGATGTGTAGTTTCCAAATATATGGGGATTTTCCTGGGATCTTTCTGTTACCAGCATCTAAGCTGGTCAAAGAACATACTTTAAATTACTTTAATCTTTTAAATTTATTGAGGAGCATTATGGTTGAGAACATGGTCTGTCTAGGTGACTTACATGTGTATGTGAAACTAAGGCATTCCTCAGTTTTAACCATCTATAGTTTTGTAATTATTATTTAGTTACTTTATAGTAATTTAGGGATAGTAAAAGTTATTGTCTTGAATCAGAAGATGCCTTTTTGATGTCGTCAAGCTGCTGAAGGGCAAGCTGTGTCCTTTTTACCTTCCTATGCCCACAGCATTATTCCTGGCTCTAAATGGAAGCTCAGCAGACACTGGTTGAATGAATGGATAACACTTAAAAAAGTTCAGGCTGTGTTCTTGTTTATGATTCAGAAAATATGCTTATTGTGTTTTGTGGCAAGACTGTCTTACACACCTTTGTGTCTTTGTGTCCCTACAGGACTTTGCACAGAGCTCAACACATTGTAAACAGCATTGACGGCACTGAGTGGAGCTGATGAGATACGGACAAAAGTGCTGCTTCTTACGGGTGGGGATTTAAAGTCACCCTGAGGCAACTGGCAAATTTCTCTGACCAAGGTTGGGGAGGTTGTCCCATATAAAGCCCCTAAGACGTGATGTCACACATAGACACTACTCTCCGTGCAAAGGGGAGGGACCGTGCGCTGGGCTCGCACACTTAGCTGGGCTTCAGTGCCCTTCCCAGCCTTGCTCCTGGAGCCTGAGGGGAGATGAATAGGCTATCTGGACACTGATATGGTCAAATGATTCTCTGCAAATCGCTAACATCTTCAAGGTTGGCGGATTTGGTATTAAGCACGTTTGAAAGGCTGCCCTGGTAAACTATCCAAGCAGGTGAAAATTGTCTTCATGACTCCTGGACCACCCTTTCTGCATCCCTTCTCACTGGGCATTTCTCTCCTCCCTTCTTCTGCCTGTCAGGGCTCATTTTCTCTCCATTCTTCCTCTAGACCTATTAGAAAAAGCCTGGTAACTTCACTCATACAAAATTATAAATGGCAGAAACTTACTGTTGAATATATTGCTACCAGTATTCTCAGAGAAGGTGGTGCAAGGAGAAGGGAGGTGCTGTAGTGCCCTGCAGAGGAGAGATGAAGTAAGCCAAGGCCTGAAAGGCTCACTGGGTTTGGTGGCAAAGAGCCTACTGGTGACCTTGGTGAGAGAGGTTTCAGAGGTTTATGGGACAGAAACAGATTGAAGTGGGCTGTGGAGTGAGGGAGAGGTGGAATAGAGTGGAGACGCCCACTGGAGCTGTCTCAGGGAGACTGGTGTGAAGGATGGGAGCCAGGACAGTAGCTGGAGGAGGAATATGTTTTCACGAGGGAAGGCCTATTTTAAATGGAAGAGATGACTGATGTGTGTAAATGCTGGTGGGAAAGAACTAGGAAGGAAGGAAACGCTGAATATACAAGTTAGAGAGGGGACCCCCCTGCAAAACACCCACGTCGTGAAAGACCAGATGGAGTGGAATATGGGGCAGGGGGTCGGGGGCAGCCCAGAGAGGGAGGGCAGCCTCCTCCCCTGAAGGGGAAAAGGCCCGCGAGAAGCAGAGACTGGGTGGGTTTGGTGGCAGAAAGTCTAGGCAACTCCCATCTGATGGTGCCTCTGCTGAAAGGAAGGCTGAGGTGGGGTTGGGGCTTTAGAGACCTTCTGAACTAGTCCCTTTGGAGAATGGGGCTGACTTGAGGAATGGAGAGTCACCAGGCCAGCCAGGGGTCCAGCTCCCGTTGGAGACCTTAACTTTACAATTGTGTTGGTTTGTATGGAATCTGACACTGATGGTGGGATTTCAGATGGAGGGTATTTTGAGACAGCGAGGGAATCTCTCCTGGTACTCCCAAAATTATTCCCAAAATGCTGCACAACACAGAAAATAGTTCAAGTGTTGGTAGTTTGTAATCATTATCATTTACTATTATAATTAGCCACCTTTACCTGGGGTTATTTCACACCAAATATTCAGCAGAGCTATACTGTTCTCCTTAATTCTCACCCACCCACCCCTCTTTTCCCATCCCACTTCCCTGGGACTTACCTTTTCAGCTCTTAGGGCATTGAAACTAGCTTTTGTTTGGGACTCTGAGGTCTTGGGAGAAATTCCTGTGTGTTTTCCAAGCTCCTGGCACTAGCCTATCCATCCTGAGTTTGGCCTCCAGCTCTAACGAGAAGGCCATTCCCTGGCTGAGGCCTGTGGATGGACGTCCTTGCCATTCCTTCAGCTGCCTTTGGCCTATTGTAATCCCTGCAAGCCGTGGGGTCAAGGAACACTGGGGTACCAGGCCTATGTGATACATTGACTGTTGCCCGTCTTTTCTTCTTAGACAGAAAATGGTGTTTGGTCTATGCTGCCAGAGAGAGAGGTAAAGTTTAGGTGGGCCCTGTTATCATGCCCCAAATGACAAGGAATGGGGAACCCCACTTGGGCCTAAGAGGAAGGGAAAACAGAAATCTCCATTCCCCTTTCCCTGACTGTTGTAGTATTTCTAGGGTTCAGAGTTGGGATAGAGGGCCTGGTCCTGGCATGTGGGACATTCCTCTCTGTGTGTATGTGTGCATACGCATGTTTAGGCGGGGAGGGGGCAACCATCCTGACGGTGCTGAGATACTCTGCTTGTCCCGAGGAAGGGGAAGAAGAGGATGGGCCATAGGGTCCGTCAGTCCAGAATAGGGAGGGCTTTGCAGGGCTTTGGGGAGAAGATCTAATCCAGCACTGAATGAGCAGCTGTGACTGCCCAGCCAAGGTCGGGTCCCTGCCTTCTGGCAGGTGAGGCAAGATGGACCCATGTAAACAAGTGAGAAAGGAAAACGGAAGAGGGGGGCCAGGGATTCTTGTGTGCTACTTGCTCCAAGTCTGGCTTTCAACATAGGCAGATACACAGAGTTGGGCCTGCCACTCAGCAGGGAGCCCAGGCTGAGGCTTTAGAGCTGACAGGTTTATTCATCCACAAATGTTGATTGGACACGCCCTGGTGGAGTAGGTCCTGGCACTGGGATTGGGGAGGAAAGCAGGTGCTTCCTGGTAAGGGCACAAGACAGCCCAGCCTCAACTCAGCTCTACTTCCCTCCCAGGCTCTACAAGCCCCTGTATGTAGTACAAGTCTTCAATTTTGCAGGTAAGGGGCTGGGTACTGGGGTGAGCTGGGAATGACAGCAGGAACTCAGGAAACTGGTTTTCAGTTTCTCTCAGGGCTACCCCAGTCTCCAGATACCCACTGGGCTCCCAGAGGCCCCCTCCCAAAGCCACTCAGCTTCCCAGGGGATGGCCACACTGCCCTTTCTTTGTCCCTTTTTTCCCTCTGTTCCTTCATAGTGAAACTGGAATTTGAATCCATGTTTAACTATAGAACCCATGCTTCCCCCCAAAAAAACCCACACAACCTAACACTGTCCTATAGAAGTGATCTTCAAAATTTTGCTTGCAAACCTTTTGAAAAACTATATATCCCTACACATTTTAAGTTAATACCTAACACCTTTCATCACAAGTTTAAGTGGATATGCTTTCTGATATACTGTAAATATTGACATTTAAAAGTAATTCCACTACTCTTTTAAATTTTTTAACTAGCCTTTCTTCCTTCTCCTACCTGCAGGAGTGGTATACTGCTATTTTCAGGGGTCTGTGGGGAAAACAGCCCCTGAGAATGAGATTGCTGGGGAATCATCACAGGTAGGGGCTTTCACTGAGACCTAGAGACTGGGAGGGTCTCACTGTAGCCTGAATATGGATCATACTACTTGACCTCAGACGATCAACCATGTGTGTGGGGGGAGGCAGGGGTGGGGGTGTAGGGGCAGGGGGTTGCTGCACACAAATGTGATGACTCTGGAGAAATTCCCTGTGTTTCTGTCAGTGTCAAAACAGATGCCCCACCCCTCGTGTTGGCTGTATGGTCACCCTGGTGCTCTGTGGCAGTGGAGTGGCCTAGACCAACCAAAAGGAACAGATGATCCCAAATGCACGAGTAGTCCTAGAATGTGGTTCAGCGCTCCTGTGAGTGAGGTGGTGGTAAGCAGGACACCTGCTGGGGACTGCACACCCTCCTGGATGCCCCAGATCCAAGGACCTAAGGCAGCAGCCCCTCCTCCCAGCCCCAGGTCACGATTCCACAAACGGATGCTGGATGCCCACTGAGGGCCACTTGCTGGATTAGGTGCTGCCCATCTGTTGTCATTTAAACCTCACAGGAACCAGGAGCTCCCACTTTATAGATGGGGAAAGTCAGGCTCCCAGAGGGACAGTGACTAGACCCAGACCACCCAAGGTGACAGGACAGAACTGCATACCTGGTCTCTGGAGCCTTCCTCATCTGCACTCAACGCTGTTGGGTAGAGGGGATTTCCATGTGCTGCACTGTTAGGGGCTCATACCTTGGACATCAGTGAGTCCAACTTTATTCCTTTCTTTGTTTTCTTTTAAAGTAATCAAATTTCAAATTTAAAATGTCTTATCATCATCAAAGATAAGCATGTAGTTTGATGAGTCAAAGTTTTAAGGCCTGAAACAAAAAACAGCTGCCATTTGCCCCACCCCATCTCACCCAGGGCTCTCACAGGGTGGGAATCTCCAGTTCCCAGTCTTTGCAGCTGTACCCTGGACTTTGCCTCCATGTTTCTAAATAGAAAGCTTATCCTGCTCTGTCTTGATCTTTCAAATTTAAACAGTAGCCAATGAATTCCTACAATGGAAGACGAGGATTTAGCTCTTGTAACAACCACACATCTACTGCCTCCTGCAGCACTGGCTTCACGCCCTCCAGCCTTGCAGTATAGTTACATCCTGGTTTGGGGCCTTACTAAATTCTTTATTCTGAATGATGACATCTTCAATTGTTAAAATTTCTTAAATATCATATTTGCTTCTTTGCTGATTTTTACATAATTTTGACTCTTAATTCCCCCTCCCTAACAGTAGGCTCTTTTTATTCATTTTTTTAAATTGAGGTATAATTTATATAGAGTAAAATCTGTCCGTTTTAACATAGTTTTGCCAAATGCAGACAATTGTGTAACTGCCCCCACAACAAAGATACCGAATGGCTCCATCACTTTAGAAAATCCCCTCCTGCTCACTCGTACTCTCCCTTCCCCACTTCCAGTGGACATGTTCTCCGTTCTGTAAGTTCGCCTTTGCAGACTGCCGTACACGGAAGCACCCAGCGTGCAGCCGTTTGAGTCTGGACTCTGTCACTTAGCACACTGCATTTGAGATCCATCCAGTTGTGTGTGTGTGGCAACATTTCTTTCTTATTGCTGAGCTGTCCATAGTATTCCTAAAACAGCCTTTTTTCTTTGGATCTCTAGAAGTTTTTAGGTTTTCTTTGTGCTCAGTGTTCTAAAGTTTATTGATGACTGATAAAATATAGGGTAGTTGCCTTCATTCAGTGCCCTGGACACTTGGTAATTCCTTCTCTTCTGGAAACTCATGTCCCTCATTTTTTGGAAACTGCCTTGATAAAAAGGAATGTATTTATTTGGTGTCTCTCCCTGCAAACCCAGCCTCTTGCCTCTGTTCCCTCCCTATGATTTATCTGTTGGAGCTCCTGAACTCTTCTCTCTGTTCTTTCTGGGAAATATGCTTTCCAATTTTCCTTCTACTCTTTCACTGGATTTTTAACTCCCATTATCATATCATATTTTTATTTTTAAAGAATTAGAGGTTTGAACATTTCTGTTTTAGAGCCTATTCTTGTTCTATAAATGCAAAATTTCATCTTCCTAAAGCAATTGTTGCTGTTTGTTTAAAGTTTTCATTGAATCCCTGGTAGTCTTCAGGTGTCTGTGCGCCAGCACTGACAGTGGCTGCTGAGCTCTCGGTTGTCACCTCAGCCTCTTTTCACTCCTCCTTTTTCTCTTTGTCATGTAGTCCAGAGGGGAGACCCAAAGGCCAGTGTGGGGGCTCATGGATAAATGCTACCCTGTGACCACTCAGGAGGGTAAGGGCTGGGGACGCCCCTTCCCCTGGAGTGGGTCAGCTGTCCTGGGCACCCTTGGTAAACACAGGGACAAGACAAGCCAGGTGGCAAGGACTCCCAGCCACTCCCAGCCGTGTCACACCTGTTTCCCTCTGTAGAGACTCAGAGTCAAGAGTGGGAGCAAACAAACCTCCGAGGTGAGTGAGGCTTACCTTACTGGAGCTGCGGGTGGGCTTTCTCCTCTCAGGTGCCCCAGCTCCAGAGGGAGTCCCAGGGAGAGCAGGGCTCCTTCCACGGTCTCACAGCTTTGCCAGAGCTGTAGCTGAGAAGGGAAGGAATTGCCTGGAAAAGCAAAGAGCCATGCACACTCTGTGTGCGGAGGACAGGGGGAGGGTTGAGGTATTCTGAGGGCCTTTCTGCCCATATTCTGTCCTCTTGTCTCTCCCTGCAGGGCATGACCCCCAAGGCAACAAGAGGACCAAATGCCACTGCCCCCAAGGAGGAGATTGGCATCTTGTCTCAGGATGAGGGGGAGGTGAGATCCCCAGAGGAGGAAGCAGCCAGTCCCACTCCTGCTGGGAAGGAGGGGGTGGCAGGGCATGGGAGGGAAGGAAGCCTGGCCCCTCCACTGGGACATCTCCTGCCTAAGTCCCTCTGAGAAGCCCCACAGCACTGCAGTGGGGTGGGGGGCCATGGAGAAGGCAGATATGGTGTGAGCAGGTGGTGTGAATCCTGGCTCCCCTTTCCCTATCATGTAGTCCCAGCCAAACACCATGCCCCTCCTTTTTTCCCAGGAAAATAAAAAGATCCCAAAGAAGAAACCTGTATATCCCTCAGGTAAGCCAGTGGAGCCCACACTGCTACAGCAGGACTGCATCCCCCAGTTCTGGGTGACCCCACAGAGGGCACGGGTGGCCCAGTGCTTCTCAGACCCTCATGGCCTGGAGAGGGGTGGGCAGGAGACCAGGTAGCCAGATGCTCTGACCTTTCTGCCAGTCATCTGATCTTCCTGGGCTCTTTCCAGTGCTGCACTGCCCCCCAACATCCGAGGGTACCCCAGCCCTGAGGAAAGGTCCTCCCAGCAGGGGACCCACAGGCATGCCTGTTTGTGCTTCCTAGAAGCCTCTGAGGTGGACAGCAAGGAGGAAAGCCCTGGGGGCTGGGTCCCCCAGCTGCTGAGGAGGCCCTGGCCGGGCTGGTTCCCAGCCCCTGACATCCCCAAGACTCAGAGCCGGGAATGAGACAGTGTCCAGTAAACTCAGTTCTGAGCTGCTGCTTCTGAAGATCCAGCTGCCTCCTTTCAGGGCCTCACATGTTCCCAGACCCAAGGTAGCCCATCCACACACCCTGTTCCAATGGGCTGCAGAAATACCACCTCTTAGCACCAAGCCCAGACTGGCAGTGGGTACTGACTCAGTGCCGAGGGACAGACCTAGTTCCCTGAATGCCGGGGGATGGGGAGCTCCTTGTCATGACAGCTTTTAGAAGATGCTGGGGACCCACATCAGGGATGCAGTTGGGTGGGGGTCTCTGGTGAAGAGTCAGAGTGGGGTGTGCCCTGAGAGTCTGTGGTCCTGAAGCTGTGACCAAAATGCCTCAGGGGGCTGTGCCCAAGACTCAGCTAACCAAACTGTCATTAGGATCCCTGGGATGTAGTTCAAGTGCTCAGTCCTGAATCAGCCACTGTTCTGGTGAGGTGGGGAGGGGGCACAGGTGGAGGACCACAGTCCTTGCACTTGGCCAAAGCTCCACACTCACAAGGTCACAGCCCCACAAGTCACAGCACAAAGACCCAGTGGCCAACTGATGTACTCATCTCATTGTCAGAAGGAGAAACAAAGGCCTGGGGCAGAGGGACAGGCCCAGGTCACAGAGTGCCATGTCAAAGCAAAGATGAAAACCATGCTGTCTTCCTCCATGGCCCCAGTGTGGTCTCCTTTTCTGCCATCCCAGTCTCACATGGGTCCAATGTTGGGTCCTATCCCTAGAGCATGCTTGTGGCCCACAGGCTCATTCCTATACCTGGGGATGATCTGCAAGAGCCAGGCCAGCCCCAGTCACTCAGAAGACATTGCCCCCACTGGTTGGAGCCCACACAAGTGCCCCCACACTCCAGCCAGGCCATGAGTGGCAAGACCTCCTGGGCAGGGGCCTGGCCATGAGAAACTTGTGGGGCTGGCAAAGGGGGTCCATCCCAGCGGCGGTGACCGAGAGGCTCAGAGAGGTGGCTCACTCCTGTGGTGCGACAGGGCTTCCCGGGGGAGCCCCGGCACCCAAGGACAGAGCCCTGGGTGTAACCCCGGCACATCACATCCTGACCTTCCCAGAGTCCGCCCTGCGGGGTGTGCTAGAGAAAGGGGGGTGGCGGAAAAGATGTGCCGGCTGAGCAGCTGGCCCGTGGGGTGGGGTGGGTGTCCTTAGGCTGAAAGCTGGGCATCAGGCTGAGCGGGCCCTGCCCACCCCCAGGGCCTGACTGGCTGGCAGCTGGCAGCAGCCTATTGTAGCCCCTCCCAGCAGGAGCCAGGACCTCAGGGCGGACGTTGTCCCTAAGCCCAGGTGCTAGTGGTGGGTCTCCATGGGTGACTGGGGGAAGCTGTCCTCTTCTGAGCCCCAGTATACCCAGGCCTCCCTTGGGGTCAAATGCCAGGTAAGGATGGATGAGGCAGGGGCAGGGGCTGGCCCTAGGGAGGCTGGGGAACCCCGATCACTGCAGGGGGCCTGTGTATGATTCAGAAGCCATATTGGTCATCCCCAGACTGGTTTATTGTACAAAGAACACCGCTGGGGAGCAGGCTGAGAGTTAGTATCCCTCACTAGCGGATCACAGCACACAGCTGGTAAGGGTATGGGGTCACTATGAACGTAGTGACACGGTGGTCGCTGGGGCGGGGCTGCCCAGCGGGCACCGAGAAGCTGAAGCGCTGCAGGAGGCAGGTGAAGAACAGGAACAGCTCCATGCGGGCCAGGGGCTCCCCTAGACACAAGCGGCGGCCTGCGGGTGCGTTGGAGGACTCAGTGAGCCTGGGGGCCTCGGCCCCACCCCTCCTAGAATGCCCAGGGAGGGGCTGGCCAGCCCCGCACCCCACGGGCACCTGCTGAGAAGGGCATGAAGGCCTCCTGCTTGACGAAGCGCCCCTGGGCGTCCAGGAAGTGCTCGGGGTGGAAGCGGAAGGGCTTCTCCCACACGGTCTCGTCCTTCAGCACTGACGACAGGTTGGTGATGAGCGTCGTCCCCTGGAGGGACATGCCTGCATGGGTGGGGTCTCACTGGGGGACGCAGGCATCCCTGCTCCTGGCCACGAGTGGACACGCTGTGCCTGGCACACACCTGGACTCTTTCTGGAAACCCTGAGCCCAAGAAGCTCCTCGACACCCTCCCAGTCCCCAGGGCAGGGCAGGTAACCCGCCTCCCATGGGTGCCCTCCCTGTCCCTGTCCCTGCTGCATAAACAGGCTCCTCCAACACAGTGAGGCACACTTCACTTTGGCGGCCGCACCCGAGTGGGCCCTGAGTGGATAAGGCCGGCCCGCCTGCTGGCATCCCCACCTGCGCCCAGTGTGGCCTTCGGTACCTGTGGAAATGAGGGTCGGGTGGCTAGGGGTCCAGGCCTGGCCCCACCGTGCAGTGCCCATTGCTGGGGCACCAGATGGCACTGATCTGTGGCAAGGAGGGCCACAAGCCTACCTTGGGGATGAGGAAGCCTTGCACGACAATGTCCTTAGTTGTCATGTGGGGCAAGTTCAGTGGGATGATGTCCCCAAAGCGCTGTACCTCATGGACCACGGCCATGGTGAAGGGCATGCGTGCCTGGTCCTGCATCTCCGGTCGCCGCACCTGCCCTATCACCTCATCGATCTCCTCTTGGACACGGCCTGGACAGTTAAGGGACCGCGCAGTGGTCAAAACTCACAGTGTTAGGTTCCAGCAGCCTGCTGACTCCTGGGTAGGGCTATGCACATTTGGAAGAGGGGGTCATGCTGAAGCCCAGCGTCTGCTCAGAGCTCCTAGTGGGCAAACCCGGCTGAGTGCCCCAGCCTCTCCCTGTCCCCCATGCCCATCCCACCCCGCCCTCCAGCTGGGCTCACGCTGCACATCCGGGTGCAAGATCATGAGCAGCAGGGCCCAGGTCAGCGTGATTGAGGTGGTCACCATCCCGGCAGAGAACAGGTCAGCCACCACCAGGCGCAGGTTCTCCTCACTGAAGCTGCTCTCGGGGTTCCCCTTGGCCTGGGCCATACAGAGAGGGAGCATTCATGGGCAGGAGCCGGACCCCCAGATGGCCTCCAACTCTGCCCCTTTCAGCCCAGGTGGCCCATCACTGACTGATACATGGGTCACACCTTACTTGGCCTTTGCTTCGTGGCCCCCTAAATCCACACCCGCTGGTCCTGATCCTGGCACCTCACCTTCTCCACCTCATCCAGGAAGGCGTCAGTCAGGTCTCGGGGTGGCTGGTCCTGGTCTCGGGTGATCCTATTTTCGGCAATCAACTCATCCACCAGGTATAGGAAGGCTTTCTGACCTTGGAAGACCTTGCCAGACAGCCCTGGGATGTGCCGAAGCACGGGGAACATGTTCATCACCTGTGTGGGCCAAGATGTGGAGTCTAAGGTCATTCCTATGCTCGGGTGTCAACTGTACCAGTCAGGTCCCCTCTGCTCCAGGGCGACCCCTGGTACCTTCCTACTGGGGTCCTTGACCCATTCTGCTGGCCCTAGGACCAGAAGGATAAACAACCTAAAATGAGCTCAGGGGTTGGAGGGGCTTCCAGCAAAGGAGGTACAGTTTCCTTAGCCTTCTCTCAGGCTTCCTCGCCCTGAGCTGTCCTCTCCCAGCTCTGTCGTCTGCAATTCCCCACCTCCAGGCCTTTCCTCTTGCAGTGGCCTCTCCTGGAATGCCCTCTCTCCATGCCTCTGTAGGAATGCTCCTTCGGGGAGGCACATTGCAGGGAGGAGGCCTCCCCCTAGGAGCTGTCTCTGCAGGGTTCTGTACCTGGTGCAGGAATCCTGTGCCCTCCTTCATTACATCCTCTGATAGGTCCAATAGCTTGAGGAAGCGCAGGTCGTTGTACTCGAAGCGGCGCCCGAAGGTGAGCGAAGTGATCACATTGCTCACCGCTTTATTCAGGAGCACACTGGGGCTAAAGGGGAGGCCTGGAAGGGACCGTGCAGGTGAGGGGGCCGCCTGCCTACCCTCCCAGCCTCAGCATCCCTGTGTCCAGCGCACCCTCCATACCTCAACACTCACCAAGGTGGTCAGCAAAGGCGGCACAGAGACATGAGGCCTCCTCGGTCACCCACTGCTCCAGTGACTTCTTGCCCAGGCCCAAGTTGCGCATGGTGGACACAGAGAAGCGCCTCTGCTCACGCCAGGCGCGCCCGTAGTGGGCCAGGATCACCCCTGGGGGTGGGGCAGCAGTATGGGCGGGGCTGAAGAAGTGTCTAAGCCCCGCCCACTGGATACTGGCTGCGAGGAGGCTCGTCTGCCACCCTGCGTCTGCCAATCAGGAATAGGCCGTGCCTCCTCTTTCTCTTTGGACTTCCAGCCCGCTTCTGCGCAAGAACCGCTGTTGTTTCTGTCCCTCTTTTGATCAGGTCGTGCACGAGGTAGCACATTTGAGGAGGCCTCTCACCCTGCTCGCTGCCAGAACCGCCCACATTGGCATCACGCCAGGTACTTCCCCGCCACACTCCTGCCCCAGCCCTGGAACCTAGAACTTCCTCCGTGCCCGGGGCCCAGCATTCACCATCACTTCTGTCTGCCCCACGTCGATACCCCCCGTTTTCCGGTCCCTGCCGGCCCAGGCCCCTTCCCGTGGGTGCCCCTTCCTAGCTTGCCTTGGGAGTGGGGCCCGAATCCCAGGAGCTCTGTGAGGGGCATTGGTGGGCGGTCGGCTGTGTCCTCGCCGCAGTCCACCAGTGCCTCGCGCACAGCTGCCAGTCCATTGAGCACGACCATGGGCTTCCAGGCCATCTGCACACTGAACACGTCCCCGAAGCTGCACCGCAACTGCAGGCCGAGTGTCAAAGGCGTTGATCAAGCCCAGTGACACCAGGCTGCTGGCCCCAGACTCATGGCACTAATCTGGGGGAACCTCTGGGCCGCTGGCAGCTAACGGGTACAAGGGTGACATCTGGCTTTGAGACATTGGGGATCACATCCTTTATGGTTTAGGACCTCTCATTTTATCAGCCTACTCAGCTATGATTTTATAAAAGTCACCAAAATTGTCAGTAGGCCAGTTAGCATCCCACCGTATAGGTGAAGAAACGAAGTTCACAGGTGAGCAGTGAGACCCCAGGACTCACACATTTGAATGGGATCCTGTCTTTTCTCACCTGGATTTCAGGATTTAAAAGTGGCTCATGACTGCAGGTTTTACCCCATTTCTTTCTGATGTAATCAAAAGGGACTGGGGTTCACATACTTCCGTGCTGTCCAACTGGATCCCAAACCCACTGCCTAGTCTCATGCCCCTCCAGACCTTTCCACCTCTGACCCTTTGTAAACCAAAACTTACCTTGGTCCTGCACAGATGCCCCCCTGCGGGAAACCTCTCTCCTGCCTCCTCTTCTGGGCCTAACTTTTCTCCAGCCTGTGACGTAACACACCACCCACTGACTGCTGCTAGGTGAAATCCCCAGGGCCTCTGCTGCCCTGCCCAAATGTGCCCATCATCCTCACCTGGCTAATGCTGTGAGGAAGGTCCTGGAAGTCCAGCTGCAGCAGGTTGCCCAGCCCAGGCAGCGGCAAGGGGCCGGGCGGGTAGCAGGGGGCCCAGCGTGTGCGCCGGTGCATCAGGTCCACCAGGAGCAGAAAGATGGCCAGGGCCACAGCCACGGGCCACAGTGTATCCCCGCTCAGCAGCCCCATGGCTGCCTCAGTGCCCTCCGGGCTCCTCTTCACACACTGCTGTCCCTCACAACGCTCCGCTCCTGGGATCAGGCCTGGCTGGGTGTTCTCACCACACCCCATGGGCTCCGCCTGCCTGGACCCTCCTTATAAAGGGAGTTGAGACTGGCCTTTGCCCTGTACCTGAGCCAACCCGTTGGGCACACTGTGCTGCCAGAGGGAGCAGGCAGGAGCCAGGGGAGCTCAGGTGTGGGTGTGGCCACGGAATCCTGTCCCTCCTGCCCTCTCCATGTGCTTTTCCAGGGTAGGGAGGGGAGGAGATGAGACCTCCCTACCACTGGCCTGACTCCCTGCTCTGTCCAGGCGCTGAGGACAGCCAGGGGTCTCTGTAGTTGATTCTGCCACTCCCCTGTCACAGCTCACATCCCCAACATGGTCACATGTTCCCCCAGAACAGACCCTTTCAGTCTCTTACCTCTGCGTGGCCTTGATATTCTGTTGTTAGTGGTACTTGCTAGGCAGTGTAGAGAGGCCACATTGATCAGAGGGAGTTGGGGTTAGGGATGAAGTCCTCGGTGTCCCCTCGCTTCACACTAGCCCACCCAGGACACACAGATACAGAATCACACACTCACATAGTGCTCGCACATTCAGACCCTACCCGATGCTCACAGGCTGACAATTCCTCACACACCCTAACACGTTCACCAAACCACACACTCAGGAACACATGACCACTTACACTGCCAGACACGCCCTCACACACGCAACCCTGTGTCACGTCCCACTACTCAGTGTTGCCTGGACCCAACCCTTTCCCCCTGGCTGGAGGCTGCTGGCTGTCATGCTGGGGACCCTCACCTGGCGTCTGCCAGCCCAGCTCCCTTGGTGTCTGCCTGGTCAAGGCCATGGCAAGTTCGAATCTGGGGGGTGGCGAGGAAGGGGAGATCAGGATTGTTTTCAGTTTCCTAATCACCTTGATCAACAAGCTCGGTGGCCCAAAAAACCCTTCTTAAGTTTGTAACAAATGGGCCTTTGGACCTCCTAGCTGTTGTGGTCACCCAAGTGATGAATCTCCATCATGCCTGTGCCCGCTTTCCTGACCGGAAGCAGTGTGGGGTGGCCACTTCCTTTGCTGAGCTGCCAGTCAGCTCAGGGCATGGGGGTGGCTTAGCATAGGACATGCCTCGGCTGTTGTCTTTGAAGTGGGCCTGCTTTCTCCTTGTCCTTGAACATCAGCTGCTCAAACTCTGGAAGACAGGGGATGGGAATCAAGTGGGGACAGTGCACTTTCTTTATCCCCCACAGGCCTGCTGAGGACCACAGCAGTGGCTTCTTGGGCCTTCCCCTTGGCCGGCCCCCTCCTCTCCCTGGGCTGCACCCTGCCTGCCTCCAGCGCCACCCCTCCCATCCCTGACTCGCAGTCCCTCAAAGATGCCCACCTCTGGACTGCACCAGGGCATGCCGCCTCTGGGCTGGAGCCAAGGCTGCCAGGCCAATACTTCTGCTCGGTCCTCGGCCCTCCAAGTCGGAGGTGGCGTCCATTCCACCCCAGGGCAGGTCGGGAAGCTCTCCTGCAATGGGGGAATGGGGGAACTCAGGGCTGTTTAAGACAGTGAGGCTGCTGTGACTCTGAGGCCAGACCCATTCAGGTCTGAAAGGGCAGGGATGTCTCCCGGGTGGGGACGGTGTCCTCCTCCACACGGGGGGTGGTGGGAGGTGAGCTCTCAGTCTGGAGGAGGCGCCCTGCAGCCCCTGCCACCTCTCAACCACTGAAGCCCAGGTTCTTCCCAGGGTGCCTCCAGATGCGCCAACTCAGAGAGGCAGCCCAGGGCCGTGTGGCCTACTGGCGTTGGCTCTCAACCAACACCTGTGTTTCACATTTCCTGCCTAGCTTGTGAAAGCTGCTCCCCTTCTTCCAAATTCCCACATCCTCACTGTCCTGCCAGGCCCAAGACCTGAAGGCCAAGTTTGGTGAGGCCCCGCTGCGCCTTCCCTGCATCTTGCCTTAGTCAGGGCGTGGGTTCTATCCCACCCATGCTGGACATACCGTGTGCTGGGCACTGGCAGCATGGCAGGGCCCTGCTCCAAGGTGCTTATGACCAAGGGGGAGGGTGGGAAGTCAGAGTGACGTGACAGTGGAGGGACTGCTGTGGGACTCATGGGGACGTTGTCCCAGGCCGGAGCAGGACTCTCTGGTAAACCTCATGGAGGACTTTGGCTGGCTTGGCACTGTGAGCAAGGTGACTTGGCAGGGGACCAAAGTACCACACAAGGCCTGGGTGGAGGGAAGGCCAGTGGCAGGAGGGCAGCACGAGGCTGCAGCTTTGCAAGTCTGGTGGAGGGCTGGGCTGTGGGGACTTGGATCTGGGCCTCCAGGTGGCAGGGAGACCAATTTTGAGGTCCCACAACAGAGCAGGAGGGCAAGGTCCACGGGCACCCAGGGGACTTTTCAGATTCAGCCTGTGACCTCCCGTCTGGTCAGTTCCATGCTTCTGTCCCACCAGGCACCACCTCTCCACCCAGGACTATCAGACAATACCAAGTGACGGCAGCGGAGACAGGAGGGCAGTGTCCCCACCCCATACCAGTGGCCTGTTATCAGGGTGGCCATGAGGAATACTTGCAGTCAGGAGGCCTAGGAATTGCAGCTTCTTTTCACGAGAGCCCCAGGCCAGCCACTGCTGTCACACATGCCCGCCCGAGTCCTGTAAGGCAGGTGGCTTTATGATTCCCTGCATGAGAGGAGGCAGTCTCAGGGATCATATCAGGAGGTCAGTCACAGGGCAGCTTTACCATCCATTTCAAAGTATACGCTCTGAGTTACTGCTTTGTGCTGCTTGGACATAAACTTCTCTAAGGGCCAGCATGTGAATTACTTTAGAAACACGTCAGCCCACCCTGGCTGGGCTTCTCCTCTGCTGAAGCCGCAGGGCAAGAGGACTGAGACCCTTCCTCCCCGGTATGTAGCACAGGTCCTCTGGACAGGAGTCTGGGGTGACATCAGAAGACGTCTGACCAGGCAGTGCCTGACCCTGGGGCCCCCATTGCAATGCACAGCAAAGCCCTTGGGGAGGCAGGAGCTGGAGAAAGCAGGTAAGGCTGTCGCACCCGGCCAGGGCTCTGGCTGTCAGTGGCATTTTGCTTGCCTTGTCCCTCTCTGCCACAGTATGGCAGGACCCAGGGACAAAACACCCCCAATTCCAGGTCTTTCTTGGGGACAGAAAGTTAGAGTGGAACCTGCCTCCAGACTGTCCGTGGGCCACGGGCCTGGCAGTCTCAATGGCCTTGCGGGGTCCAGTGCCCAGCATGGGGGCAGGGGGAATCCAGGCCGAGACAGGCTGTGCCTGCAGCTCTGCGGGTGGGTGCCAGAGGGCGTGGGTGGGAGGGGAGCAAGGCAGGACGGGCCTCCCAGACTTGCTTTTAGGTTTGGTGTTTGGGCCTGGCCAGATGAAGTTCTGGAGACCTGCTGCACAACAATGTGAATATACTCAACACTACTGAACTTTACTTTAAAATGGTAAGTTGTTTAGCCGTAATTTAAACATTACTTTTAAAAAGATATCAGGAGGAGCAAAGATGGCGGCATGAGTAGGACAGTGGAAATCTTCTCCCAAAAACATATATTTTTGGGAATACAACGAATACAACTATTCCTAAAGGAGAGACCAGAAGACATAGGACAACAGCCAGGCTACACCCACACCTGCGAGAACCCAGCGCCTTGCAAAGGGGGTAAGATACAAGCCCCGGCCCGGTGGGACCCGAGCGCCCCTCACCCCCAGCTCCTG